CATTTCAACAGCAGAGAGACACCAGAGCAGGTGCCAGGATCTGGCCCTGCCTCTTTCCGAGGAGCTCTGTGCACATCTGAGAGGATCAGCCCAGTGCTGTTTGTCTGCCTAGAAATATCCTGACACCCTCAGACTCCTCACCCCTCCATACCAGAGAAACCCATCTGAAACTATATGAGGAAGGAAAGCCAGAATCCAAAGGGTTTTGGGAATCCAAACTGACTATCTACAATCTATCCATCTCCAGACTATTTCTCTGGGGGTATTTCAGGGGTTGCAGCCCTGCCTGGAGCATCCAGGTGGCTGGAATGGCACAGACAGTGGCAGAAGGACAGTATTTCTGTGCTGCAAAAAGTCAGCAGGCTCAGGCACAGCTGAACCTTGCCACTCTGTAGCTATCCTTATTTTGGAAATGGCACACAGCTCCCATGGATGGGGAACCCACAGTGGCACCAGGAGGTTCCTCTGGCAGCAGCTCCAGAAGTGCTGTGCACGTTGGTGCTGCCTTAATCTCTGCATCACAGCACTGAAACACTGTCGCTGGACTGACAGGTTTTATTGGCTTGATTAGCTTATTATTTGAAATAGCTCTGTATTCTGCTGGGGTTATTTTGTTAGCATGGATGAATGCTTCATTAAAACCAACTCAAGCAGACTGATGCTACAAAGTTTCATGTTTTACGTTTCGGGTGAACAGCTACGGTTGGCAGCATCCATTCATTTTCACTATGACCACCAAAACTAACAGCCTTTCTAGCCTGGCATCATAACCCCTCTGGTAAATGAGCAAAATCCTCTGCCACCTCTGAGAGATGTGATGGTGACGGAGACAGTCTCAGCAGCTCTGACATGCTCCCTGCAGATGAGCAGGATGGGGAGAATGGAGGGAGGGTGGAGCACACACAGCAGCTTCAGAGTTCAGTCATGGAGAGTTTCTGACTGGCAGCCCAAAAATTGGTGTCTGTAAGAGCAGGTGAAGGAAACAAGTTGCCCCAGAAACTCCACACTCCTCTAAACAGATCAGTATTTGCAATTTCTGATACTGAAAAGAATATTTGCTAAGGAATGCACCCACACACCAGCAAGGCTGGCACCAGCCCCTGCAAACGTGGCAGCAACAGCCCATCTCCCTCATCCCCCCATCCACGAGAAAAACACGAAGGAAGTTAAATTACCCCTCCAAAATTGTGGTGGTGCTGGAGCAGAACACGCTGCCAACAGCTGCTGAATGGGCACAGGCTGGCACTGGTGGTTTGGGACTGAGAAATCAGAGTTTGTGATGGGGAGCCCAGTAGTGGGCAGCTCTCCCCTTTCCCACTGCCTGCTCCCATCTCCACATGCGGTCGCTGCGCACGGTGGTGTCAATCAATACTCATCACTGTGTGCTCCCTGCCAGCCAGGTCACACAGTTATCCCTCAGACTACTCATTTAGCACTTAAATACCACATCAAGCACTTCCACAAATTGATGTGAACCCAGCTGCTCAGTGGGTGACCCCTGCTACCTTCCAGGGCTTGACATGGGGAACAGGCAGGAAAGCTGATCTCCAATCTCCCTCTGTTTCTGAAATGCCTTTTCTTCCTTCTCTTTTCTTTTTTGCTTTATATTATGTACCCCAAAGGAGCAGAGCTAAATCCATACAACCCAGGGGAGTTCATGTTCACAGCCCACCAACCAAATCCACTTAGAGCTCACAGAGGAGCAGCAAAGATTCCTGAGACAGGAAAACCCTGCAGCCTTTTGATAGCGACGCAGAGGCACAGGAGGCAATCCTTCCTTGTCCCTGCACCACAGGGGGAGGAAGCATCCTTCCTGCACCACCCACAGTCACCTGAAACTGCATCGAAGCTAGAGAGCAGCATCTTACACCTCTCTTCATCAGTGTGGCTGCAGGGAGAGCTGGACTTCTGCCCCCAGGAGCCACAAAATACGTACTGCAAAATGTGAGGCAGGTTTGGGTTTGGAGGCAACACCATATCTTTGTGCAAACAAACATCCTCAGCATCTTCTTTCCTCACTCCTAACTTTGCTTCTTCCTCACACAGAAAGTTTCACACAGAAAGTTAAAACTATACATAAATAAATACAGACTGTTTACCCCTTCTAAGAGTTTTGGAAAGTTTCTCCCAGCAGCCAGCCTAAATCTCTGCTGCAACTAAAGCTGGTTCCTTCTCAGGCAATTTCACACCTCACTGCCAGGGCTCCCACCAGGGAAGCCACGTAGAAAGGTGGCACCTGCCATGGGAGAGAGGGAGCAGGGACAGAAGGACAGACACAGATGGCAGAAAAGCCCATTGCCAGCGGCTCCGTGCTGTGCTGGGCACTGTGGCAGGGCACCTGTATGGGTAGAAGTAGCAGGAAAAGGGACACGGCAGGAACAGGGAGACCCCAGCCATAGTGACTTTGTCAGGGGCTCAGTGTTACCTCTGCTGTCCCTGTGGTGTCACTGGAATTATTCCCATTTCACAGATGGGAAACCTGAAATACCGAGAGCTGCAGGACAGAGCTTGTACCAAACGCTGTCCTGACCCGGGCTGGGGGCAGACAGTGCCCTTCAGCTCATTCAGTGCCCGTGTGAAGTAGCTGCCAGAAGATATTTCATGGAGGGATTTGATAATGCTTTAACTTCACTGTCACCAGCTTTCTTGCTTCCTACTTCACCTTTTTTTTTTTTTCTTGTGTTACTCTCCTTGGGCTCAGACCGCATTATAAACACGGGCTAAAGCCATCTGTCCTCATGTCTCAGCAGACAAGCCCACAGAGGGTCTGGCAGGGAGGGTGGCAGATGCAGGCTGAGGCACAGGCTCAGGAAGGCAGTGAGGCTGCGAGGGCAGCCCTGCTCCTACCCTGATCCCTTGCCGCACGCTTTGTGAGAGACTCAAAAGCCCCATTTCTACACCCACCGCCTCACCATCTGCTCACTAAGCCCTGCCTGAGAAAGGGCTTTTGCCACCCAGCCCCAGACTGTTGCAAAGGGAGATGTAATCTTCATTTCCTGGTAGTGCCAAGGTGATGGGTTCACAAGAAATGGCCCTCCCGCTCCAAGCAAGTATTTTCCAAGGTGGGAAATGCCTCCGAGGGGCAGGAGCAGTGGTGACACAAACAGGGATTGCTCAGGAATCTGCAGCTCAAGCTGAGGGTGATTCAGGAGATCCCCCAGCCTGCTCCTGTGGCAGCAGACAATTCCCTTGACTGACAGGCATAGAGCTGGAGCTAACAGCGAGTGAATCGCAGCTGTCAGGACCCAGTGTAATTCATGACGCCGTTTGCTGGGGAGCGAGCTACCGCTGGGCTATTTATCACCCCTTCACTGCGTGCCCTGCTCCTCCTGGCTGTGGCTGACATAATTCACAAGCACCTGTAGCTGCTGAGCACTGGCTGCACCGTGCAAAGCCTTCACCCCCGAGCCGGCCAGCCAGGCACTGGTGGCCTGACAAATGGCTTTTCCAGCATGTGGACAGATAGTTCGAGCTTTTCAGACTTTTAACAAAGGAAATGCATTCCTCTACTGACTCTCAGGAGTCATCAAGGTCACAGGAAAAGATGCCAGACTGAAAGCTGAGATGAAATTAAATATTTTTTTTTTTTCTGTCCAGTGAGGAATCTGCACAGCTTTCATCAAATAATAGGTGAGCAGTTTGCTGGCGAGTTGCAGATTTTATCTTCACAAGGTTGGTAGCAGGTAAAACAGCATTATTCTCTCCCAGTTTGGAGGGCAAACTGATACTTGGAGTGGCACAAAGAAGTAGCTGAGCTGGGAACAGACCCAAATCTCCTTCATTTCCATGCAGTATCCTAGTCACAAAGCTCCTCTCACAAGCATTGCTAGTTAGGAGCTTTCTAATCCACTGCAGGCTACATTCCAGCTGATATCCCTAGCTATACATTGGTCTAGTGCGGATACATCCTACAAAGGCATGCCTTGGGTTTGTGAAGAAAATGAAAAGGTTATAAATGTACTTTGTCACATTTCCTGAAATTTTACAGCTCCACGCAACTAAACTTAACCCCAAGTTCCAAAGCACAATATTCTCTCCACATCAGAAATTAAAAGATAAAATTTGACAGTCCAACTCAGGCAGGCAATGAATCCTAAAACCCACTTAAAACCTACGCAGGATTAATTTGACATATTGGATTCCTTATACCACCTGCAGACACTCAATGCTTTCCAAACTCATTGAGAATTAGTCATCCTTAGAGCTATGTGCCTTCTTTGGTGAGTAAGTGAGCCAGTTTACTGAATGACACTTGAAACATCCCTGCTCGTTCTGGGAAAAATAAGATTTATCCTGTGCTGAAACCAAATTCAGCACAATCCGTAAAGCACGAAACTAGGCATTGCTTTTGATAATAGCACTGTAGATGTGGCATGCAAGGAAAAATTTGACTTTATACGTGACTAATCTGACAGTCTGTAGGCGACGTAGAAAAAGAGGGTATTTATAGAGAGCTGATAGCATCTGTCCCCACACCTGATAGGGGTCAGTACCTAAGGTGAGATGAGAGCATTTCTGGAAACAAGCAGCAGGCAGCCCAGACCCTGAAGACCACCTACAGGAGCCCCCCGTTTCTCACCTGCATGGGTAGACACACGTGGACAGTCAGTACTCCTGGTGCCCCCCAAAACCTTTCTCAAATTCCTCGGTGAAGTTTCCACCGCTCGCCTTCCAGCCAGTCCACACAGCTACAACGTGTTTACACTTTCCCACCCACCACTCCCATCCCAAACCTTCACCCACTGAAGCAGCTGCCTGTAGCAGGATGAGCAAGGTTAAAAAGGAAAAGGAATTGGGGGGGTAGAGTGTTACACTCCTCATCTGAATCACTCTGGGCGCTGTCGGGATGCCCAGCAGCCCACAGTCGCGATGCTGCGCGGAGAGCGCGGGGTCCCACGCCACGAGAGACCCGCCCGGTGCGGACCCCGCGCACCCTCCGAGCGCTGCCGGGACGAAATCCCGTCCCTGCCCTTCTCCCCATGCCCACCCCGGGCACTCACCCGGGCTGCCGGCGTGTCCCGCGGCGGGAAGCGAGGAAGGGCGGCCGAGACGGCTTCGGGACGGAGGAGGAGGAGGGGGAGGTGGAGGAAGACGCCGTGGGGAAGCGAGGGGCAGCGACCCGGCCGGTGGGACCGGGACCAGCCCCAAGCCCAGCAGCAGCAGCAGGGTGCAGGCTGCCGGCATGGCGCTGGGGGTGGATGGAAGGGGAGCCGGGGGGGGGCAGGGGGGTGGTTGTTCACATACCCGGAGCGGGGCAATGAATAACCACGTAAATAGCGATTTTTAATGAAATCCCCGTGCCCCCCCCTCGGGGCGGCGCCTTAAAAGTGCGGGGTGCCCATAGCGGAGGGGGTGAGGGGGGGGCCCGGCCAGCAGCGGCGGCAGCCTGCGGCCAAGTGCCGGCGCCCGAAAGTAAAAGGGCAGGCGGCGGAGGCTCCTCCTCGAGCCTGACATCACCCAGCCGCGGCTCGGCTCGGCTCGGCATGGCCCGACTCCCCACGGCCCCCCCACCCCGGCCCGGCCCGGCCCCCAGCGGCCGCCCCCTCCCGCCCCGCGCAGCCGTCGGGCCGCCCGCCCCCTCAGCCGGCTGCCTGCGGCATCACTAGGAGTACTATTGGTAGTAATAATAATAATAATAACAACAACAACAACAACAACGCTTCTTTCATCCCATACTTTATTTTTCCTGCTGCATCTCCCAGCCGCGCCGGGCGAGGACAACCCCCCTGCCCACGGCCCCGGCGGTGCCGGAGCTGCCCCGGTTCGGTTCCGCGCTTCCTGCGGGCAGGGCACCCGGGGCACAGCCGCCCCCGCTACGGCAGGGTCACCCCTGCCGCACTGCACAGCCCCGAACTTAATCCCATCGAACTCGAGTCCTTGATGAGTAACTGCAGCTTTTTTCTTGGTTATGAAGCCGGCAGCAGCGTTTGAGGGTACAGTTTCTGGCAGTGGTGAATTTCCCAGGCCGGGCTGTACGGGAGGCAAAGGATTTCCCTTCATTGTTCTGAAATTCCCCTTCATAATTTCATGCTCCTAGTTCTGGGAGAGAGCACGCCGCAGAGCAGTGGGTTGGGCTTTGCCGGGCTGCCGGCATCCCGATGTGCCAGGTTTAGGCTCCCCTTGAGCTCTCCTCTCCGGGGAGCTAAACCTGGCCAAACTTTGCCCTCGAGCTGCTCCTGGGCCCTGTACTTTTCCCTCGAGCTGCTTCAGAATCAGAATTAATTTCCACAAGCCAAGCAGAACCCGACCTTCGAAAGGGAGGGTGGCTGGTGACAACTCACCGTGTCCGGACGGCTGCAGCCTGGAACAAAGCCGGGGTCTGGTCCCCAGCCCCCCCGCTGCCTGGTTTGATCCTCACCAAAAGCAGAAGTCGGTGGCTGACGTACACAAACTCTCCTGGAAGCCTCTTTCCACCGAAGAGGTGGCACTGATGAGCCCACACCAGCACTCTAAGGGCTTTACCCCGACAGGACTCGCTCTCCTCTGCCCCTGGGCTTTTCTCTCCATGAGCGAATGCTTTTTCCCGCACCTTCCCACACCACTTCATCATGAAGCACACTCAGAAATCCTCATTCTGGTACTGGCATCATCATGGATGAAAGCCCTGGGAAAGGCCACCTCTGAGGCACCCCTTGATCAATCCATGCTCTACTCTACTCCCTACAGCTTTTGCCATCTTCTTGCTTCAAATTTGCCTAAACCCAAGGAACAAGTCAAGCTGGTCAGTTTTGGACATGAAGCACAAACCAATCATGATTATGCTTTAGTCACGCAAGTAAGCATCCCAGTCCTGGCAAATGGAGTGACCCAGAAGCCACAGGCAACACCAAGGTGCCAGATCTACAGAGGATGTTTTTAGGCTTCTTCATTCTGTAGGCAAGTATTTACACATTCTGTATGGAATGGTTGTGCAAAACAAAGCTTCTGTCTTCATAGGGCAGAGAGATCAATACACAGCTAAAGCTCAGGGGAAGAACTATGAAGTATTTTGATACTTTGGGAGATGGCACAGGTAGTGCAATGCAGCAGCTCAAACACTTGGGGATATCTTTATACATGAAATGCACGACTCCACACTACCAATTCCTAAGGCAGTAAGTAATAAATGTGGTTCTTTAGAAAGTTTTGTTAGTCCTTGGAAAGAAACACTTGCCAAACAGCAAATCTGACACTTTCAACTGTGCAATACCAGTAAGGCAACTGAAGAAGAAACTTCTCTGCGGCCAAGGGTGCGCCCTCAGGGCTCCAGGGACCAAGTGAAAGCTGAACTTCGCCCTGACATGAAATGGATGCTCTCCTGTCCACTCACTCTCAAGCCTGAGGGCCCTAATACCGAGTCTAGAGCTCATTCCTTTCCCCCACCTTTTCCAAGAGACTTCCCTAACATCTAAGCCCCACAGCAGCTCCCCACTCTTAGTGCATCCTTCCAAGCTGTAAATCCAACAAGCAGGAAGCACAGTATCAAATGCTTTTCCAAAAGGGTCTCAATAAATTCTTCCTGCTGTTTCACTCAACAGGCCCATGGAGAGCCATAGCAGACACTGGCAAATGCAAGACAAACACTTGTGCAGGAACAGTCCATGCCGGTGTGGAATGGCTCTGTCTCACCCTGCCCCCGTGGTGCCCCCATAGCACAGCCCAGCCTGCAGTGCCTCTAGCTAGGGAGGCAGGGAAGGCTGAATTAACCCCCTCTGGGTGTGGGGGAAAGGGGTAATTGGTGTCCTCCCAAAATCTGCCATTAAACCTGCCTGACCTGCTGCATTTCTGAGCCACACAGGGCACTTGTGACCACAACAGGGTGACCGTGAGGGCTGTGTGCCCGGGTGCAGAGCCAGCAGCAGGAAACGCTGGCCAGAGGGCCCCATGCTGCCCTTGGATGAGCCACATCCTGGCAGGGCTTAGTAAAGGTGGGACAGGAATGCCACTGCAGCCTCTGAAGCCCATGGCAGTGGTGAGCTGCCTTCACCAGCCCCAGCAAAGGCCCCACGGGTGTGAACCCGTGGGCCTAAACCAGTACTCACCGTCAGAAAATAATCTCTCTGCTCTCTCCATCATGGTTCCACGAGCAGCATATTATTTACAAGCACCTGGAAAGGAAACACCGATATTCAAGCAGTTTCAGACTTCCTAAATGCAGTCCCTTCCCCCACAGGTGTCTGATTTGTCAAGGTTTAGTGTCTGTAAATTTAAAGCTACTGTGTTTTCCTGCTGTCTAATTTTTTATTCCTACTTCAAGGTTTCGTAAGGAATATCGCTGCATTGAAGGAGTCAATTTATGACTGATATTTTTGAGCTCCAGTTTCAACAGCCACATGAAAACAACAGAGAAAAAAAACCCTCACTTTGCTGGTTTTTATTCAAAAAATACTCTTTTACCCTTTGGAGCTGCAGAGGGCAGTGTGGAGGGGATATCAGCCCTGCCACCCATGTGATGAGTTTGACACCCTCCTTGGGGCTGGGAAAGAGCTTCAGTGGTGGGAGAAGGAAGAATTGCAGCAGGATGAAGGTGGCTGTGTGGAGCACAAGCACTCAATGAAGGCCACCAGCACTTGGCTTTTCCCCATGTGCTGCTGGAGTTGTTTATCCCCATGGCACAACTGCACACTCTGCTGCTGCATCCTGCTGATGCTGCTTCCAGGGCAGCTCCAGGCTGAGGGCTGCTCCCCACCCTCCTTGTAATAGGAGATTTAAATGCATGAAATCATGGCTGAGGAGCCAGATGGGCATGGCAAAGCCTGATGTCGAGTGACGCCACAGCATCCTCCTGAAAGAGGCTGTGACCTCAAACGCCTCCCCAAATTATGTACAGAACACATTTAACACTTCCATCTGAAAGCAAGCAGCACATTCCACACACAGCAAAGGAGTTCAAACAAATAAACAACATCATCAACACAGGAAACCTCTAACAAAGCTATATATAAAACATGATTGATATTGATTAATTGAAACCTGCCCATTACCTTGTTTTGGGGGAGGAACAACAGAGTGTGTTTTTATTTCACCTTGGTTTCCATTTTCCAGATTGAGGGGCTAGAGACACAGGACAAAATTTGCTAGTGTCTACATTGTTTTGGTCTGAAATCACTAAAAACCATGAGAGTCTCTGCAGAAGAGGCATCTCTTCAGCATTTTGGGAGGATTACAGTGACCAGTCCCTTCCCTCTGGTTCCATAGGAGCCTTCCGCAGCACAGCCGATGTCATGAAACTCCTGCAGCTCTCTTGAAACTCATCCCAGATCTGTCCAAATCTTGGATCAGGCTCATAAACCTCAGACAAGTTTTAAGCTGATGATGAATTAAGGTACAAATATTTTCTCCTCCTGGAATTTGTTATTAAAAGCCCTGAGTTTCCAAAGTGGACAAATAGTTCCTAACTGAGTAATTAATTTCCTTCTCATCTCCTCTTGATGCCACAAGCCATCCATTAATGGACACCAATCATCCAAAAGGCACTTAATACGTGACCATTATTCTTGAAATTTTGGGGGTGGTGGTATTTTATTGATTTATTTTAACAAAAACTGCTCATTCCGGGTATTTGACATTTGGAGGTCAGGATGGATACGGGTCTTGTGATCCCTCTTCATCCCTCACAGAAAAATGCACAACTTGAAATGATATTGCATTTTGAATCCTGTCACTGGAAAAAAAAAAAATCCCATATTTTCTGAGGGGAAAAAAATAAATCAGCCATCCAAATATATCTGAAAAGAAGCAATTCTAAATTTCTTATTTATTTCTTTCAGGACCTTTTTCAGCCAGCTCTGGTTTGGAGCACACCCAGACATTCTGGAGCTGAGCTAAACACTTCAGAGCAGTGTCCTGGAAAGAAGCCCCCAGTGAAATTTAGAAGGGACACTTGGATCCAATAAAGTTACAGGTGTGCTCCTCTATCACTAAGTTTCTGGGAGCACCCAAGGTTCTGTTTCCTCTTGCATAAGGAGGGCAAATCCCAGGTATTGGGAGATATGAGCATAAAAATCATGTGAAAAAAGCCACGAAGAGCAGAAGGCAGAGAGGAAAGGAGCCTCTCCTGTGCCGTATGGGCTTTAAAGTGATTTATTTTTAGCCTGCATTTTGCTGCTAGAGCCTCTCATCCGTAGCTTTTGAGGCTGTTACCGCTGAGGTCTCACCTTGTCTTAGGTTTAAGGGATGCTGTGCCAAATCTGGGTTGCAGCAAGACACCACTGCAGAACATAACAAGTGCTTATATTCCACTTTCATACAGAGCTAACAAATTTATAGGTTGTCTACAAAATCTCCTCTCTTTTATCCCTGTAATTACCTTCTCTAAAATTCACCAAGCAAGGGCAATAATTCAAATAACTTCCCTTTCCCATTAACCTAAATGTTAATCCTAGGTTGGCTCTTGTGCTTCAGCCAATCTCTTCTGACCTTGCCGGTGTAAGCACGATGCTGTTTAAGAAACTCTGCCTGTCTGAATCTAAATCTGAGCC